GTGGAGAGATTCTGCTAACCAAATGAAAATAGATCATATTCTCCATCATGAAAAAGTTGCAACACTTGTATTAGATTATAACCAGGTATATTTTATACTTTTTGTAAATTTTGTTAAAGCAATTATATTCTTCATAGGAGTTTTCACAAGTTAATTATAATTTAATACTAGTATAATGAGAATCTAGAACAATTATTGAAATTACTGATATTAATTATAATTGTACATATTGTCAAGATATATAAGTGATTATAACATACCTCCCAAAATAATAATGTTAAAATATACTTATTATTTTTTGACAGTATAGTATTCCCTTATAATATATACAAGTCATTACAAGCATTTGGATAGATTGCTTCTGCTTTGCATACAATTTTGTATCAAATAATTAATAAATGTAATTATATTTAATTATTTAATACAAAAAGATAGTGAATATTATATTATTTCTACAGTCCCAATCCCTGCACCACTAGCAGCCTCTGCCTCATTCTTCTGCAAGCAGAATTCACGTTGGTAAAGGATTAATGCATCCTTGGGCCATACAAAGTAGTCTTCGTCACCATGCCTTGGTCGTTGCTCAGTCCCTGCGAGTTGAATTGCAAGGTCGAGCAGGTTTTGGAGATTGAGGCTATGCCTGTGAAACAGGCTTAGAGTGATTTAGCAAGTGACAATGAGAAAGAAAAGATGGACGCACAGTGATGGTGTACAGTGAGTGTGAGTGGTGTATGCAGGTTGAGATCCGGAGTGTTGAACGAGTTGATTTGGACTGTAGACGAAACCGTGTCTGTGTGCGTGTGCTCTATAGTTTATCTACAGTGTCCAATGGGAGGTGCAGTAAACTGAGTCGTCGATTGCAAGGTGTATCTCTAGGACGTTCCGGCTCGAAAGGTGAAGGTGAAGTGGAAGGCGGACAGACTCGGCTGAGAGGAGAGTGGAGGGTCACTACTTCTGTTAGAAATAGTGTCATGCACAGTACTGGGGAAAGTAAACGCATGCAGTGTGGACCCATCAAGGGTGATGCCAAGCATGGGACGGGTGGGGAAGAACGTGCGCGTCGGATTGGAGAGAGGATTGCGCCTTGGGAGTAGTCGTACATGGACATTGTCGCGAGCGTGTGCTCGTCGAGTATTGCTTGCACTGCAGAGTGGGGAGAAGTATGTGAATTATTAGCAAAGTTGTTCAGGATTGGTCAAAAATGCAGATGCGCGAATGCAAATGCAAAAAGAAGGCGAGTGTAATACAAAGGAGGACAACGAAGGAGAGGCAACGCAAGAGGCAGAACGAGGAGCGGGAGGGATGAAAGGGAGACAAGAAGTTGGGAGGAGAGGGATGAGCAGCTATTGTGCAAGTTATTATGAAGTGGGCTGGCTGCTTACGCTTTACGCTGAAGAACGGCGTAGCCAGCTGGGTCGTGTCGTCACAGGATCTGAGGCTCAGCGCGGGCATCGCAACAGCAGATTAGAGAGACGAATGCAGCGATGTTTATTGTCTAGGTGGTTGCAGGCAGTGTGCCTGCTGGAGGATGCTTGTAGGCAGAGGACTTGACTAGAGAGAACAGAAGCGACGACATAGGGTTGGGGAGGAGGGTTGGGGAGATGGTGAGGTAGGAGGAAAAGGAGTGACGAGAGCAAGTGCGTCATTATATGCACTCGA